GTGTGTGTGTGTGTGTGTGTGTGTGTGTGTGTGTGTGTGTGTGTGTGTGTGTGTGTGCATTTGTTCGTTTGTTAGTGTTACAATGATAACATTTTTCATTGAGAGTGATAATAGAAGAGAAAAATAGACTGAGCGAGAGAGAAGAAATAGGCTAAGAGCGAAAGTCAGAGCGAGAGATAAAGCGAGATAGAAAGAGTAAATGTAAGTACGTGTGTGTATTTGTGTGTATTATTTTTTTTTTTTTTGTTATGGAATCAAAGATTATACAAAATATATATATTGGTAAAAAGAGAGATAGACAGAGACAGAGAGAGAGAGAGAGAGAGAGAGAGAAGAGAGAGAAGAGAGAGAGAGAGAGAAATAGAAGAAGAAACCGGCTTATTTAATACCTCTTCATTGTCCAAGCCAAGCTGTAAAATATATTTTATAAAATTAAATATAAATATGAATAATTGTGATAAATAACAATAATATAAATAATTTGTGTATGATGATATATGTTGAACGCATATTTATGTATATAATATGTATTTGTGTGTGTGTGTGTGTGTGTGTGTGTGTTTGTTTGTTTGTGTATTTTTGTGTATATGTAAGTGTTTTTAAACAGATTTAGGCGTTAGATAGATAGAGAGAGATAGAAAAAGAAATGAAGAGAGCATATGCATATATAAAAGTAATGTTATGAGAACAAAAAAGAAACGAAAATACCGTTAATTCTCTTACGTTGTGAAGTCGAAGCAACATCAACTTCAATAAAGCCTTTGTTTACTTATTCACTTATTGTTGGTACTCATTTTAATATTTTTGTTAGTTTAATCGGCAAATTTCATGAGCATTAATTAATAAAAAATTAAACAAAAGTGATGCATTTTAAAAAACGAAACAATAAAAATGTATAAAATTCAATTAATTGAAAACATTACGAATTTGTTTTCATTTTTCATTTTATTTTTTCATTTTTAATTTCTTTTCAAAAACTTTTTGTTGTAGTTTGTTTACGTATGAAAATGAATTAAAAAAGATTTGAATTTTTAAGAAAAGTTATTTTTGCTTCTTTTTTGTTGTAATAAAAAAACGATTTGAAAACGAGTAAAATCGGAAAATTTACTACCAGGCCTAACGTAAATATTTTGACAACTATTTTCCAAAAAAAACAAAAAAAAAAAAACATGCACTTGATGTTTTATTCAAGATGTTTATTATTTTCGAAATCCTCTTTTCTTTTTTTTTTTTTTTCTATAAAGAAGAAGAATTGCTTAACGAATAAACACAGTTTTTTATTTATTTTCGTTCTTTATTTTTTTTTTTTTTTTTTTTTGGAATTTTTCTAAAACATGCCAAAAGGTCTACAAAGAAGTTATTTCTTTTCTAGTCTTTATTATATGTGTGTAAACAGAATTAGAAAAAAATATATGCATAATTTTTATTTATTTATTTTTTTTTTTTTTTTATCGTTTAACCAACTATTGTAAAACCAAAAAACTCAATATAACAACGACAACAACGACAATAACAACAACGAATAAAAAAAAAAAAAAGAAAAAAGTTACAACATATAACATAACAAAGACAATGAGTTGAAACGTAAAAAATTTTTACGTGTTTTATTTTTACAAAACTTGGCTTTAAACACTCAGTTAATAGCAGCAATAACAACAATAAGAAGAAGAACAGAGTAAATTGTATTTAGAGAAAAATAGGTTAAATTTTTTTTTTTTTTTTAGGTAATCTCTTCTAAAAAAAGGCCAGCTTCCTATTTTACACGTATGTATATGCGAAGAAAGAAATTCTATATATCATCATCATCATCATTATCATCATAATCATCATTATCGTTTTAATAAAATTTGAACAGCAAATGCTTACACATTCAACACCTATTTTGATTTGATTTTATTTTGCTTCTTATTTTTCAGTTTCGTATCTCATACAAGCTAAGCTAATCACAAGTACATATAGAGAGAAGGTTTCTTCACATCTCTTAAATATTTTGCAATTATAAGGATTTAAGAGATGGTTTGGTAAAGTTTTACGTAATTGCACGTTTCTTTACTCTCTTACGGAAACTCTTACGTATTGTTAGGTGTCATGAAAAGGCTTAAAATCGCTTCATTTAAAGCCATTCCTTATGTGTATGTGCGTGCATGTATATATGTGTTTATGTGTATCTATTTGTGTATATTTGTGTATGCGTATGTGTATGCATGTGTGTGTGTGTGTCTGTGTCTGTGTGTATGTATATGTAGGCATTGTTGCTACTCTTTTACAGTGAAACAATTCCTGAAAGTGTAAAAGCAGCAACAATAACTTACAACAGCAAGAAAAATAACTTACGTAGGCTTGACAGTGTGTCCGATTTTCCTTGTTTTTATAACACAAACACAAAAACAATAATTCACTACAATCGGACCAAATATCCTTAATTTTTTTTTTTTTTCCTGTTTTTATCGTCATCATCATTATTATTATCATGATTAATCAAATGAAACTAATAATTACAAAATCTTGTATTTTTTTATTAGTTTTATCGGGTGGGCCATTTGTTCGATTTTTTTCTTTTTCTTTTGTTGATTAACCCTAGCCACTTTTAACAAACAAAAAACAAAAAAAATATCCCAAAATTTCCATATTTAGGGGTGACGCTTTGCTTTCAATCCAATTACCAGCGAAACTACCCGATTCTGCGACATCAATTACGATCACAGAAATTGCCATGGATGAGCTAAAGATTTCCAGGTACAATTATTGTTTCTTAAGTGAAAATATAGGACAATGCCATAAGGAGTAAGGAGTAAGTAAAAGGACTCGTTATAATCGATACCTGTGGACATGGGCAAGAGCACGTTAAAGGAAGACTTGAATTTGGCCCATCTTGTATTACATCAATCGATCTGACACATAGCCTGCCGTATTTCTATTCGCGTTTCAATAATCGCCATTTCCGAGACATGGTTTTACTTGAAGCTCGAAAGCTATTAACACCGCACCAGTCTCCACATAAACGGACAATTTTTGTTTTGGCATCGTGTAAATGGATGTAAACAATTTGATATGATTGGAACTAGTTGTCTAGAAACCTCTTCCTTGTAAACGTTCTTGCAAGAAATAAGACCCGTATATGACAAGAAGATCTTTATGATGGGAACTGATACGAAATAGTCATACACCATATTAATGGACTGTAACAAGTTTGGATTACATAGGTTTACACGTCTCCGTCACCAGAAACGCAAAAAGGGAAAGCGATAGGCAGCTTAATGTTATGCCCGAACCGATTGAAAACTCACTGCAGCTACGACATTGAGACCTCGGCTTATAAAATAATCTAATATACGGTAAGAAAATACAAATTTTATCGCGAAATAGGTGAAGCATTGCCTTATACGGAACAGTTCACGATATTTAATAGGCAGGCTTGCCTGACTATAACGTTTAATCCTGTCTTTCAAAGAGTTAACATTGTCTGCCATTTACGAGTGATGTAACTTAAACGAAGGCGTATCGAAATTCGAATATTTAGAAACTTTTCGCCAATGAGATTCCCGTCTCCCGACGGACTGATTGCGGTACAAGAGTCCCTTAAGCTCACTTGCACTTTTGTGTAACAATGTTGTATGCATAGGTATAGTGAAAAATTTATTTTTTTGTCGCTTTCGTGTAACGACTTTGAAAGTTGCGAATATCTTTCGTAGCAAAACTATGCAGGCCCCACGTTAAGTGGGCGAGACTTTTATTGTCACAAGTTGTACGTATATAAGTATGGGCAATAGCGGCTAACATACGCAAAGTCATCCTCATGAATGAATAGTCGGCCAAACGTTACAAGAGTTACCGAGGATACGCTTTCGCAAAACTCAATCAATTTTTGTGGCAACAAATTCGATGATCGTATAACGAAACTCTATGCGCTAAAGTTTGGCCCTCATAACCTTGTAATTTTACATTGGTATAAGATAAAGGTATTCTAAAGGAAGGAATACCTTATGCTGACAACTAAATCAGAATTCAAGGTATTAAAAACAATACAATACGCTAAACAGGATATCAGTCCTTGAAGCCTGAGAAAAAAATTTAATTTACCAGCTTAGACGAGTAAGTGAATTGGACTAGAATTAAAACTATTCAAACGATATTATGGCATTTGATATTTTGAATAAAAATATGTATTCAATAGGTTTTGTGCATGTTCTTCAACTTTTCTCAAACAACATCAAATAGCCCACCCTATAGAATTTTTATTTTTTTTTTTACTCTACAGTTGAACTTGGATTTTTTGTTCGTTGGTTTTACTTCTTTCGCCTTTTTTTTTTTTTTTAATTTTTTGTTATATTAAAGCATTTAACAAAAAATTCGCTGATGATGAACTAAAATATAAAAATTAATAAAAAAAAAAAAAAAAAAACAAAAAACGAAATTTGTTGTCAACACAAGTAGTTGCATTGTTTAGTATAGCTATGCTTCTGATACTCTTTATACATAGAGATTGGAATAAGGAAATAACAAAAATTGAAATCGTGGCACGTACCTCATCGGTGTCACTGCCTACTAACAGTAAATCAAACGGTATAGCTGCCACCAAATCGATTAAAAACCAACCGCTTAAATAATGCACCGCTATACGGCCGGGATGAGAGACTACTTCGTCTTGGCCATTCACGAATGTTGTACGAAAATTAATAAGTATATCGACGATAAAAGTGACATCGACTGGAAAAATTTATTCGAAAAAAGAAAAATTTATGAATAAACGGAAAAAGTGTCAATACTTTTTGAAAATTTGCAAGCACTTCAAAATAAAAGAAAAACCAGAACACCTTACCTATTAAGTCCACAACAACAATTGGATCACTGTTTATATACTTATTCGTACGCCTTTGATAATCCTGTTCGCCTAATAGAAACGCTGCTACATAGGGTGTAAATATGGCCGTGTACATAACCAAAATTAAAATAATCCAATCCCAAACCGCCTTGAATGGCGAATAATGCAAAATCGTCCAGCGATGGGTCTTAGCGCTCATATTCTTTTGCTCGGGCAGTACGTTCGCCCCTAAAGATAACACCTAAGCATAATAGAAACACCATATAGTCCTGAAGCATTGTTATTTCTCTTAAGTTTTTGTTTGCTGACAACGAAACTCATAAACAAAATAAAAATGTTGCGGAGCGAATTGTTCGAAGCTTTTTTCTTTCATAGAAAGATATTTAGCTTTTGTTTTGTAAACATTATTATGCGGGATATTTATGGTCGGGGATATTTATGAAAAGCAAACGAAGAACAATTACTATATATATGTAAAGCAAATGTTTACCGTCTCGACAGGATCGGGGAATTTTATCTCCAATTTTGGACTTAACAAAGCCTCTTTATCCATGGTATCCTCCCCATGCTCGCTGACATGCTTTGAAGAGAGCTTACGACCGAATATCTGCGAAGAAAACTTGTAGCGACTGCTGCTATTGTTATTTAAATGTTTGCGTCTCTCTTCGGGCGTGGTCTGGCAACTGCTCTGAACTGTAGATTTGGAATAGCCGTGATCCTGATTTGCATATGGTTCGGTTTTTGTGGTTTTTTTGCTTTTCTCGCTTAGATTATCGCTTCCAGTTTGTATAAGAACCGCTTTGTGCTTTTGTTTTTCGCATTTATCGCACGAAGGCGACCGACCGCCTTCTAACAGTTTGTCGGCTGTTGGAGGTGGTCGCAAACTGCAGTTCTCTGCTGCAATTGCGGGCGGATGTAGCGACAAATGGCGTACTTGCTGTGCTTGTTGCTGTTGTTGTTGCTGTTGATGCATTTGTTGTTGTTGTTGTTGTTGTTGATGCTGGTGCTGCTGGTGCTGCTGCTGCTGCTGCTGCTGCAGCTGCAATTGCTGCTGTTGATGACTTTCCTTTCTCTTATGCAACATAGCCTCGTAGGTGTCAGATCGATATTTTTTACCTTGCTTCAGATTCTCATGTAAACAGTTTTTAATGTTTTCCAAACAATTCTGGGATACCTCGGTTTTAGCACATTTCCGATAGAGAAACTCGTCATCATCGTCGTCCATATTTGTGCGCGATATCTTATGATACATACGAACATTATTCGGTGTCTTCTGGCAAGTGTTACGCAAGAAATATTTGCCGTTTTCATCTTTGTACGACAATAAATTCGAATTCATTAATATGTCGGAAACGAAGACACTCTTCTTGTTCATCTTGTTTGCTGTGCACATCAAAGCAAACAGTTCGCGTTCCACGAATTTCTGCAGTTTCGTAGATGATAGCGTTTGGTGGGCGAATTTTTTTTTGCGTGCTTCCAAGAGAGGCGTTTGCTTGTTTTTAGATACGTAGATTTCGCATTGACGTAGTATTTCGTCTAGCTTGCGAATCTCATTAAGTTCTATACATGATTTTTGTGACATAGTGCAAACAGTTAAACACAACAAACATCTATAAGTAAGAAGACAACGAAGAAAGAATAAACAAAAAGGAACCGTGCCTTGCAAATGTATTACAAACACAGAGGCACATGCAAAATGGAGTTCATCTAGTTGACCCAATAAAAGTGTATATATATATATATAGAGTGTATATATATATATTCATATATATACATATATATGAATACGTCTTAATATTAAATTACTGACATTTGCCTAAAAGTATGTTACATAATTTATTTATATATTCTTTAGTTCGATTATAATTTTAATTTCCGTTCTCTCCTGTGGCAATCACAACTCTATCTCAATCACTTGCTCTGTATTTTAATTTTTACTATGATTTTTAAAGTTTTACTTAATTAAAATTTTTTTTCTATACCTTTCTATACTACTGTTCGCAGCAGGAAGAAACTTGTATTTGCCATTGTTAATATAAACTACGATAACTACTTGAAGTTTACGATACTGTGCGATACGATTGATAGATATACGATAACAATAAATATTCGATAAAAAAAAGAAATTATTTTGTTTCTCATATATATGTGGTCTTGAGAACCTTTCCAAAATATTTCATTAAATATTTGCAAAATTTCTTCATATATTTAAACAAGAAACAGCCGTTTAATGTTGTTTGGTTCGGCGGCGTAAACAAAACACGACTGATTAATATCATTTTCCACAGTTAATGTAAATGAGAAAACAGGTAAATCGTACCGACAAAACTTCGAAGGCCATAGAAGTCTGTGTTGATTTAATAAAATTTTTACACCCATCATCGAAAAATGGAAAGTGTACTTATTTTCTTAAAGTGGAGAAGGGAAGAGATCCCGTGTCTCGTGTACTCCCTCTTAACGATAAAAGACAATCGCATAAAATATGGCCGACAGAAAAAGAGACTACAAGAAACCCGTTTGGAAGGTTTAATTCGTAAGAAAATGCATTAGACTCGGGATAAAGAGTTTATTCTAGCCTGGTCTATCAACAGAAGGGTTGTTTGATTGCAGAAACACTTTGAAGTGATTGCGGTGTTGAAATTAATAGCGGATTTATTGGATCTATATGGGGAAGTGATCGTTTCCACCTATCTACATTACCCATTACTCAATCAAACCTATTGACAGATGTATACGAACTTTCAACAGAAAGCCGTCAACAATTGACGTTGTGTTCTCATATTTTGAAGGCAACTCTATCTCAGAATTATGAACATATGAATAATTTTGTAAATAATAAAATGGGTTCCCGCAGAAGTCAAACAATAAGAAGCTATTTACCATCTATCGTCGATACGATTGGCGTCAGCATATAATCCGTTTAAAAACTCGTACTACTGCCATCGTGATCCCGGCGTTTTCTTAACCCTTCTTACCGTAAATAACACATTATTTAATAATAAACATTACGAACCTGCCAGAACGATGTCTTGCAATATTCCCCCTTTTCGTCGACTATTTTATCCAAGTGTCCTCTACGGCTAATTAATTATTTGAGATGTTGCATTCCTACAATTGTCATCATTTTTTCCAAAAGAAAGCAAGCCAATATGATTAGTCCAAATAATTGAAAACCTCGATTCACAGACTTATTTAACCATTTTCAGAAACCCTCGTCTCATTACTTCCTATAACTATATACTATCTGCCAAATTTGTATACCTTAAGTAGCTTTTAGCTTAATTAAAGCCCGTCCTTCTAAATAACATTGACGTAAGAGAACTTGTCATTAGGTAAATTAATTGAAAAGGAGCCGAAGCTTTTTGTGGATCCCTTCCTCGAAACGGAACATTCAAAAGCTTAGTACTTCTCGATCATAGTTTATCGTCCAAAGAAAGCGATCTGGAATATAACGTGACCTGAAAAGTAGGGCCCAAGATTATAGAAAATATGAATCCGTCACGCTTTATACATGCTCTGAAAGCATGGCTCCATCCAACTTACGCTTTGTCTCTTTGCCATAATCAAGCAAAAAAAACTGAGAAACATTTCAGTTTGCGTTGCCTTTTTTCTGAATCCAATTATCGTCCAAAATTCGTAACAGTGCTAGTTAAAAATGTTCATCTCTGAAGAATAGTTTTGCGATAGTCTGCAACTTGAACATAAAAATTATCTTAACGCCCGTCTAATAATTCCTTTTCGTGTAATTAGAAAAAAAAAAAAGGAGAAAGTACTCGTTATGCATATTAAAGCTTTTGAGTGATTTATCTGCTCCTGACAACAAACACAACCAAATTAAGACTGTATTTCTCTTCTTTACCAATTCTCTTAATAAATTTTTTTTTATTGTTCCACTTTTGAAGAATTGCCAGATTGAATCTTTTTCTGTCGCACATCCAAATCTGGATCTGGCTTTGCATTGTTAAATGAATCAGTTAAAGCCATGTTGCTATTTTCATTACTGACTTTTAGGACTTGTTCTGTACTCGCCGCCGTTGTCGGTCCGGCTATCGATTCCACACTTTGTGCAGACACTGTTTTGTATACACTCAAGGCCTGAGTTACAAGAGAAGATATATCTCCGGCATTCGACGGTAGTATCAGTGTATTATTAGTTTTGGCTAAATGTTTAAAAGCAGAAATATACTGTTCCGCCAATGTTAAGGAAGCCGCATTTTTACCATTCTAGAGAAGAGCAAAAACAATTTAGGGGTTTCCAAAAGAATTTTACTATTGTAGAATGTAATACCAAATCTTCCAAAGACTTCGCTATCGTGGATAAACCACGTGCTCTTGCATCAGCTACCGCCAACATAGCAGCAGCTTCTCCACTTGCTTTATTAATTTGTTCTTGCCGTTCGGCCTCTATTGAATTAGAAAAACGAAGTGTTTTAAAATAAAAATCCCCATTTTATCTGAATTTTAATATACCCGAGGCTAAAATTCGCGATTTACGTTTGCCTTCAGCTATGTTAATGTCAGCTTCTCTTGTGCCCTCAGATTCTAGAATCGCAGCCCGTTTTCTACGTTCGGCCTCCACTTGCATTTGCATGGCTTCATGAACTCTTGAAGGCAACTGCAATATACAGATTAGCAATATAAGGAATAATTGTGGTTAAAGGTATTATTTACAAAATTTCTTACTCGTATATCACGAATTTCATAACGCAAGCAAGCTATTCCCCAAGCTTCGCTAGCTTTATTAATTGAATCCACGATACTAACATTGAGGGACTCTCTCTCACGGAATATCTTATCCAAAGACATTTTACCCAATTCAGAACGCATCGTCGTTTGTGCTAATTGCGTTATAGCAAATTCCGGGTCTTCGACACCATACGAGGCTAAAATCAATAAAAACAAAACTAATCCAATAACAATCATAAAAAAGTAAAGAAGCTTCATAAACCTCGGTAAGGATCAATTATACGCAGATAGAGTACGCCATCTATAGAGAGAGTTACATTGTCAGATGTGATAGCACTTTGCTTCGGAACGTCAATTGCAATTTCTTTCAAACTTTGAACATACTTTATTTTATCAACTATAGGCAACAGTATATTCAAACCGGGTTCCAATATACGATGAAATCTACCCATTCGCTCTACAATCCAAGCCTGAAACAAATTAAGTATAACATATTTCAATATAATAACTCCTCCCAGCATTTCAGTGAAAAATATGTTTCAGTGGAATGTTATTTCCCTTTTACCTCTTGTTGTGGAACAAACATTACGATAGTGTTCATTGGCGTAGACGTTTTCGTTCTGCATTGATTGATCATATGCCGGCTTAAGATTTGCTAAGCGATAATTCTAACATAATTGATTGGATACAATTTTGGTGATATTTTTAATGGACACTTACCCGTGACAATAAACGCGCAGCAGTAGTAGTGCTGACTCGTAGCATTTTCCCTTGTATACGCAAAATTGTATTATTTATAATTTAACCTTTCGGTAGAGTGCTCCACGGATTCTTCTTCTTATAAGCAGCGAAACACAATCACTTTGAAACGGCTACAATGCATAAATACTAAGATTCTAAGAATGTTTTCTTTAAAAAAAATAAAATAAAAAAAAAACGATTTTAACAATTCGTTAAATAGGTTTTAGTTTCAAAAATTCCAAAATTAAAAAATCCATTAGAATTAATTTAGAAAATGAAAGTTAAGGATTAACCAATTATTGAAAAAAAAAAAAAGAAAAACGCCGTTACTTAAAATCGCAAAATAATTAACCGATATTCGGTAGTTGTGAGTTTCTCTACATGCATTCACTTGAATGCACAACACTAGTTGTGAATATTTAACAGATCAATAATGACAATTGGTGGAAACAACTGAAGAAAACAGAAATTTGTTATGGATTTTATAGACGACTTCATACAGGAATATAAAAATAATCCGTGCCTTTGGAAGGCGGATTCAGTGAATTATAAAAATCGAACCAAACGCCAGGAAGCTTACATGAAACTTATCGATGTCGCTGCAAAACATGGCGAGCATTACAATGTTGAAAGAACAAAGCAGAAAATAAATAACTTGCGTTGTGCATTTCGCCATCAACTTAAAAAATATAATGAGCTCAAAAGCAAAGGCGAAAAGGAGGAGCCGTATTGTCCTAAGCGTAAATATTTCGAATCCCTTATGTTTCTCAAGGACGAAGAGACACGCGATAAAAGACTCAAACAAGACCATTCATTTGATCAAGGCGCGAACATAAAAGCAGAGAACCGTTTATTAAGTTCCGAAACTGAAAGTGTAAATACTGAATTGTGTGAAACAGATAAACACACGGGTGCTAGCATAAATGGTGTTACGGTTGATACTATACAGGTGGTACCCAATAATTTGTTTACGGATATTTGCAAGGAAATACACAAGGATAATGGCGGTGGCGCAGAAATGGAAGATGATTTAAATAGCGAAGCGAATAGCGGTACACTGCTCTTGGATAAGGATTCCAATACGGTCAATATATCCGTCATTTCTGAAAAAGGTGTGCCGCTTACTCAAGAAATTGAAGAGATAGCAATAACCCCCGTTAGGAAAGAGCACGTCTTTATTGTGGATACGGGTACTACAACAACCACTCATCATATCAGCAATACACCATCACATAAACAAACATCCAGTAAATCCCGCAAGCGATCGTCTTCCTTTTCATCACAGCACTCAAACGAAACGGATAACACAACACCTATAAAAACTAATAAAAGTGACATTACCTTAGATCTAGAACAGCTACTTACACTTGCGTGTAAGAATTTTCAAAAAAATTCAAGCGATCATTATACATCGTTTGGGGACATAGTTGCTCACAAATTGCGCTCTATGGACACCAAACAGGCGATATATGCCGAAAAAATCATCTCGGATATTTTATATCAAGGGCAAATGAAGCTTTTGTCCACCTCAACCATAGAACGTTTTTCTCAAATCGAGAAACAATGCAATAATAATAGCAATAATGTCTGAACTGGGTGGCCGTTACCTGCTCTCTGACTCTCATGGTGATCGGTGAATCGACTCAAGAGTTATATTGCAATAAATTTTTTCTAAGGATAAAACTCAAAATTTAAACAGTATGTATATGGCCTATCCATTTTATATTCAAATGCACATGTGTTGTACGAATAGGAATACACACAGAGGTTTACAAGTACTCTTCTGTCTATCTTAGTAGCGTAATTTTAAGCTCTCAGTACAATTTATTATGAAAAAAAGAACAATATTATGTATTTTGTGTAATTAAAAAACATAAAAAACATTTTTAACATAAAGCGAAAAAACAAAAAAAACAAAATTAAGGAGAGATTCATTACTTGGTAAAAGTGAAAAAAGGGCCTGAAAAACGATAGGTTAACTGATGGTCAACATTTTTGAGATTGTTTTTACACATTTTTATTAAATAAAAAATGAAAATTAGCAATGTTCTGCAAAAATGAAATTATTGAAAGATCTGCCAGAAAACAGAAGAAATATATGCATATATGTTTATTTATTTTTTAAAAAATTTTACAAATACTTTTAATTAAAAAAAAAAGAAAACGAAATTAGAGTAATCAGCTTTTAGGAGGAGCGATTCCTTATCGCTCCAAATGTGCTTATTCTTTATCGAGACTAATAGCGCTTATGATAGTTTTCGTAAATTCCGTATTCGATACATGTAACAGACCGCAAAAGAAGAAGAAGACTGAATATATCCATTCTTACCACAGACATTTTTCCCTTTTAGTTTTATCGGTTTTGATGAGAGTATTGAGATAATAGACACAACCGACATACACTTTTACGCCGCATCGTCTTCTCAAATGCAACTATAAAGCTTTATGTGAGTTCGGCGAATATCCAACATGAAATCTGAAGACGTCATAAAAAGTTTGCATTCTATAATACAAACGTACCATAATTTATCATCCATTTTCTTGTTTTCAGTAAGATAGTGTCATTTTAGGTAATCTAAGCCATTCACCGTCCGTGTTACGCACAAAAATGGTTAAGAAAATTAGGTTAAAAGGGAAAATTTCATGAAAGAGAAACGTTGGTAATCTTTTCAAAATTCCAAATATTCGCAAGAATAATAAGCAAAATTTACTTGACTCCTTTTTTGAGAATAGCAGACAAATGAATTGACAAAAAAAATGTCGCGATATTAATACAATTCAAAACAGGTGAAAGTATTACTCGGTGCCATAAGTTCTTTCTATCAGCATAAGCGAAATTGTTAGAGCTCTACAATTTAGATTATATGACACATAAAAATGTCTCATTGATACTCCGCAACTGAAGGCAATTTTTTGCTGAACGAAGAGACCTCCTAAAAATATGCTAGTATTTTTCCTTGAGTATACATAATTGTGTGGTCGCGGGATATTTTTTAATATATTCTTAAATATAACTCAATGCAACTTGAAAATATTTTTAAACTTACATTGTCGTTTTAATTTTCACCTGTATTAGCTAGTATTTTAATTTTTTCCTCGATTTTCAATGCTTCCACAGTTATAATCAGTCGGCTGGTTTAACAATTATCACTTATCTACAAGCTATGGTCCTACGCTTAACCTAGCCAAATGAAACAAAAAGTTATAATTAAATTCTTAATAATAATATAATAACATAATGCTGCGATTTACAAGTGTAACCCGCTTGTCATGCAATTAATTAACATAGAGAGCATAAAAGGGGTTCAGTATTGAGCTTATTATAATATAAAAACCTCATTACTGATTCACGACAGGACAATCGCACCCAGATATAAGAGCTGATTATTTTCTTACTTCTTTATGATATATTGATAGATATTGATAGCTTCACTTTGCTTGTTTTGCTCAGTAATTGCTCATCACTTTGAAAATGTTAATTTTCTTTTAAGTGCCGTAAATCAAAAAAAAAAAAAACTAATTATACGTCGAAACCTGTTTATCAGTTAACTGGCTTTCCATAAATCTAAAGATATCTTATCTTTTGCATTAAACCAAAGGTATGGATATTATTCGTTCACTTTGCCCAGCATCCCGAGGAAATTTCTTGAAATGAAGTGCGAATATATATAATGCCTTTATTGAACGTAAATTCGAGGCAGTTTGCTTTATATCGTCGAAACAATAATTAATAATATGAAGCGTCTTTCGAAACTTTTGCATTCAGGTAATAATTGCGTTTGTTTACAATACAATCTTCTTACATATATATATTTCACAATAATTTTCAATTAACGTCTTGCCGTTCTAGTTATTATTGTCGTAGCCGCCGGGGTCACCTTTCTAATGGCAACAATTTTTCCGGACGGGTTTGATCAGCGACTCTTTTTAGTCGACGGATAGGGCGTTATTTCCTAATGGTGATTCGATAATCGATGATCGTGAGGATACCAGGAGTACGGTCTCAAATCTAATACATTTTCTCTGACATATTAATAAGCACAAACACACAGCCAATGGTTCCTCAAAATAGACGGTCTTCGATTTTTATTTTCATTTAATAAATTCATAATTAAAAAAGAAAATAATATTAAGCTGCTGGAAAAACAATTGTTTTGAGTGATTTGTATATTTTTTTAAAGATATTATCACACTCTAAAGTGAAATTTCATTTCACACTTTGTAATGTGTGCTGTGTTATTGTAGTATTGTTCCGTGTTGCGTTTATTGCTGTTGGCATTCATTGGGTGAGGGCTTCTTTTTATTTCCACCCGAAGATTTGTGTTCCTTTTCATCACCAGACTCTTCGTCATCTTCTTCTTCTTCACCATCATATGAATCATCGTCCTCATCTTCGTCATCAATAACATCACCAGTGTAATACAGAACGGCTTTAGGAATAACTCTGGCGCGTAAGAAATGGCCAATTTCAAAGTCAGTAGCCAATATCTAAAAAAAAGAAATGATAATAATAGTGCAAAATCTAGTAGATATAATACTTTTTATACAAAACTAAGAACTTACTCCTTGAGAATCTTCATCGATTTCATCCTTATCTTCGGAGACTTCGGGGGGATTGAAAAAGTTGAAAAATGAATCGTTGGGTACTTGTTTGACAATAGTACGCACAGCTCCACGTTCCTTATGCTTTTGTTTTTTACGTATAGTTTTGACGGTCAAATTCATCTTCTTCTCCCAATTGATGTTGCAGCCCTTGCACTTGTAAATCTCTGGACCTTCGAAGCCAAATGGGTAATCTTCGTCCACCGTGGATTTTAGGAAATATTGCTTAGTTAAGACTTTATTCGAGAAGTACTCATTTTTATCGAAATGGAATTCCAATGTGTAAGAATGCTAACCCAAAGGAAAATCGTTTGAAATTGTAAGAAACTCGGAATATAATAATCACTCATTAACTAAGCATCTACCTCATCATCATATTTAATAGTGATATCCGTCAGCTTCTGTAAAACGGGTTCATCATGCTCTTGAACCATTTCCGATAGGATCTCAGTATTACGGAAAATTGTCAACCAGAAGTTTGGGATACCTTTAGCATCTTCGGGAATCTCTTTAATTTTTCTACCAATGCAAGGAACACATAAATAAAGCTCATAAAAGTTATTAAACTGAACTTACTTTAAAAGTTTACTAAAATCAGGCATTTCTTCAGCATTCTCCTCTTCCGATTCCTGTTTCCATTTAGGATCCTCTTCCGGTGGCTCTACGTCACCACAGACAATAGCTTTTCGTTTTTCCAGTAGCGGCTGATACTTTTCCTGATATTTCTTTTCCAACTTATAAACTTCATCAAAAAATTCAGCCTCCAATTTTAAATGTTCCAATTGTAAATTTTTTAAAGCTGTTATACGTTTCTGCAGAGGAGCTGGTAAACTCTTGATCATTTCCTGCAGAAATTGCCGACGCAAAAGCGCATTCATATAAGCGGGCCTAAATAAAAAAAAAATAAAAAATGGTTTAAGGAATGAGGATTATTTTATTAACCAACTGCTATACAAAGGCAATACGAACCAACTATACCTATTTGGATACATATATATATATATATATATATATATTTGCAAGCTATATATCTTGCATTAACAAATGAAATTTCAACTAAATAATTATTGTTAGTAGTATCGTCCTAAAAAACATTCATATCACTCATTAAGCTTTCGTTGTACGTATTTTACGGACAAGAGGCAAAATGTTGAAACAGCAACCTTAACTGAAAAATATCGTACCCAGCATAAAGCCAAGTACGGCGGTAAGTATTACCGCTCTTTTGTATTTAACTCAATGTAACCATATAAGATTCCTCCATACACATATGCAGTTAATGTTTTTTCTCTTCACTTACCAAAAACCGGTTAGTACTAGCGACCGGCAATACTACAAAAATTTTGCCATACAAAAAATATATGCTTGTGTGCATATGGATATAAGTGTAATGATGAAATATATATATATATATATACTTATTTTTATATTTATGTATATATATATACCCTTATATATACAGTACTTACACCATTTGATTTAACGTGAAGCCCTTCTTCTCCTCATCCTCATTCACAGATTCGGCAGCTTCTTCATTTTCATGAGGTGCCTCCATGCTTTACTTTTCAAATTTCTGAAAATCAAAAAAGAATGAAATAGAGAAGAACATAATGAAAAAAGATAAATTTAAAATCCAGGCAATAATGCAGCATAATTAATAATAATAATATTTCTTCGCTAATTAAGTCAATTATTCTAATCTTTGGCATACATTTTTTTTTTCTGTTATTGCGTCGTTCTTTCTTTTCGGCACATAGAAAACTTTTTTATAATCAAAAATTAACTCAAATCAAGAAACCAATTTAATTGAATAACCCCTTAGGGCTTCAATTATTGGACTGTTTCCCATCTCATATATAGTTTGGACACGAAAAAGTTTTAGCAGGAATGTGGTCGCATCTTAGGCACTTTCATATCTATATACATACAAGCTTCAGAATATCTTGCAAAATTGTGAAAAAAAGCACGTGTGATGGAAGATGTGCGTTTTCCAAAATTCGCATTTAATTTGCTATGCAAAATAATTACATCGAAGCCAACGTGAAATTTAGCTTCATTTTCTTTGTTTAAGAATTAAAATACGTTAACTTTTATTAAACTTACCAAAAAACACAAATGAAGACTCTTTTTTCTTTAACGAAAAAAACCAAACTATTAAAAAATCTATTTAATAAATCTACGACTTTAACACACCCGCAAAACGAAAGAGAGCTAAAACACATAAATCGATTGTGATGAACATAAACTTATCGTAAAATTTCCCAACACTTAACTATCGATAATGAGGTTTTTCTCTAGTTTCTCTACCAAGCTAATGTGAAGCGATTAGAATGTTTTTCCTTTGTTTCCGATAGGTTTTGGAATTAACAGGAAAGATGTTCTATGGAAATATATATTTATTTTAATCAAATTTAAAAAACACTTACAGTCAATGAGCAGTCATTTTGTAAGTAATCATTCTGTTTAGATAAATAATTAGTAATCGAATTAATTCTTCAGTCTCATAAACGGTTTCAATTTAACCTATATCGAGATTCTAAAAAATTCTATATTAAAGCATAGATATCGAACTTTAACATTTAACATTGATTGATTGAAATGCAAACCTTTACATATGTCTCAATAAGAAAACAAAAAGTAGACTTGAGGTTTCTTTATCGAATAAATCTAATAATAATCATAAAAAGTCGTCGTTAGGTATTTAAGCGAGCTTAAAATTCAAGAAAAAAGAAAATAGATAAAAATATTTATTGGCTGTAAACATAAAGCATCGACAACTAAGCTAATATAACCATTATTGCAATTTCTTTCAAACTTTGAACATACTTTATTTTATCAACTATAGGCAACAGTATATTCAAACCGGGTTCCAATATACGATGAAATCTACCCATGCCCTCCAAGCATTTCAGTGAAAGATATGTTTCAGCGGAATGTTATTTCCCTTTTACTTGTTGTGGAACAAACATTACGATAGTGTTCATCGGAACATGGACACATTCATTGCTTTAAAACTTAAAAAAAATAAAATGAAAATATCTTTGTCGGTTCGTAAAATTGCTGATGCACGGGAGACATTTTTACATGTAAAAAATGTTTCATGTTATGTGGTATGAGACCCTTGCGCAATTAAATTAACAAATGGTAAACTTCAACTGTCTGAACCGTTTCATTAGAAACTTCACTTCCTTAAAGAATATAAATATAATTACGAGCTTTTCAATGCTTATGGAATCTTTTGCGGAAGTCTAAATCTCAATATCGGATTCATTAAAAACTATCAAAATAACTCTCCTAAATAAACGCAGTTTGCCTATTTCGTACCTAGATTAGCGCCTAATAATAGGAAAAGATATCTTCACAGGATTTGAAAATTGAACTACCTTTTTTCACTACCATTGATTGCTAAGGCTTGGGGGTTCAGCTCCAAGAAAGATTTACGTCAGTTTTGGGTGCCTTTGAGCTAAATTTGTATATATTTTGATTTTCTCCTTTTTCGGTATTTATTTCTACATGAATTTCGTTCTTTTTATGTCCTCTTTTTTCTTTACTAGTGTTTAAATACTCTTTAATTCTTTTTGATAACACTTACCATAAGATTTATTTATTTTTAAGAGCCATTTAAATTTGTCTATTAATTTATGTTGGCTGAATTTCATGTAAATAAAATAAAATGAAAAAAAAAATTTTTCATTAAGAATCTGTAAGCACTTCAATCCTTTTAAACGCATTAAGAAAAGTCTTTATAGTCCTTTCGCCCCGAAAACGACACCGCTATCCTCTGGACTACGAATATATTACGTGGAAATCTCGTATAAATTTGGGGTAATGTTCTGAATAGTTCATAATTTGCTCTTATTAATTAAACACATTTTTTAAAGAAGATATTGAAATCAATTCAAGTATTCAGTATTTTTTTAACTAGTTTATTACAAAATGGACCGTTCAGGATAGCAATAGATATTGGTGGGAATAAATTCTCCACACTTAGTACAAGTATCTTTGTACTTCCTTATGTTTTTATTTCCTTTGTCCATTGTTTTTTCTGACGAGTTCAGATGGTATTATTTTTCTTGCATTTACGAGTTTCTTCTTCATATGGAACAACTAAGATAAAAAAAGTGGGCAGCAACTTGCACGCTGTTGAAAGTTAATTAACTTAAAACTAAGCATTTAGTTGGATATTCTTTATTTGTAATAACAGCTTCACTCCTCCTGGATATACTCCGCCCGCATGCAACTTCCGTCCACCAGTCGCACAAAATTTTCGAGTTTCACTGTAGTAATATGTGGCCCTACATCATTTCATAAATTCTGAGTGGGATTGAGTTGGCCCCTTTAATAGAATTATCGAAGCAATAATTCATTGTATGTGAAGTGTGTTTTGGATTCTTGTCATGCAAAAATCATTGTTGTTAAAAGTACATTTTTAGAAACAAATTGACCCATACGTTTATCCAGTTTTTATATAGGACCAATGTCGTGACGAGCGTGTGTGTGTGTTTGTGTTCTCTCTATAGGTTTTGCCAATGAAGGTCATTTAATGTATAAAATGCCTACATATGAGAATAAGCGTCCACATTTGTTTACACTGCTCAATAATTGAAAATGTGTTTGTATAAAATTTGCTAACATCTGAGAGTAAGCGTTTCTTATTCTCAATAATTTGTATAAAAATTTCCTGCATCTGAGAATAAACGTCCACATTTGTTTACACTTCTAATTTCATTAGCCAAATAATCACCTTATTTAAGGTAAACGACTAACAGTCACAAGTTTTCAAAACTCTGTCACTGCATGTATTCTCAATAATGTTGTTACAAACAAAAACAAACATGTCCCCTTATTTTTGTAAACAATGTTGCTACAAATAACAATAAACACAGGCTTTTGTTTTCGTAAACAATGTTGCTGAATATGTAAAAGATATTTTTTTAATTTGTACTACACCTTGCGATTTTATCCTCTAAGCTTTTTAGGATCCACCCAATGGTTCTCCCCATAAATTAAATTCCACCCAATGGTTCTCTCCATAAATTAAGTTCCACTCAATGGTTCTCTCCATAAATTAAGTTCCACTCAATGGTTCTCTCCATAAATTAAATTCCACCCAATGGTTCTCGCCGTAAACAAATAAACTTGGGAGTCTAGCGCGGCCAGAGTAGAAAATTTCACCCATAGCGCAAAAATATATTACGTGTCCTAATTTGGGCGGGTTAGGCTTCCAAATCGAACTATGTCTTTGCTAATTAAAAAATCAATTCGTAGAATATCGATTGAAAAAGTAATGTTAAAGTTCGGAGTTCTTTTGAGAAAGAAATATGAACAGTGGAGGTATAAACATTTATTTTGTTGACAGATAATTTTGGAAATCAAAATTATTGTAAATAAAACAAATGTTAGAAACAAAACATAAATCGAAATAATTAGAAAATTTTTTTTTGATGTTGATTTCTGAGGCTGTTTTCTATAGGCAATTAAAGTATACCATTTTTCATTTTTACTTCTTCTTTTTCGTTTCTTTCTCTTCTAGTTTGGGTGCTTTCTTTAACGCCGCTTTGAAACTTTTTAGGTTTAACAGCAATCTGGCTTTCATTTTCAAAACTATTCAAACGATTGGCTAAATAGATGTATGGGCTACAACCCGGCATTTTTGCCAGCTGTATATATATATATACACATACATATATATATATATGTAGATATATTTATATAAATTAATTTCATATTCTTTTTGTTCAAAGCGTTGCCATTAATTGGAAGCAACTCTGCGTTCTCTCCACTCTCCAGGCATGGTATTTTTTATAAACCATGTAAAGAAAAAAACCAGCTAACGGTTTTTCGCAAGAAAGCAAAGCCATAAATTTATAGGGCAGATGGATTTTGTTGATATGCTAAGTAAGTATGAGGCAAAAAATCCAGAAATTTTCGTAAATCTCTTGTAGTTTATTCCTTAGATACATATCATACAAATTTTCAGATTGATAGTGGACATGCTTTGCAAAGTGTGGTTTCCTAAAGGTTATATCAAGTGCAGTCGATCAGATCAATTTCACATATTAATCTAAGTTTCTTTTTTTTTTTAATTCTCTTTTAGTAAAAAATATTATACAGCAGGATAAAAAACGTGCCAAAGAAATAAAAACAAAATAGAAATGTAAATTTTGTTAACGGAATATACAGCAGAAAGCAAGATCAACAAGATGAGCTGCGAAATTGAAGCGTAGGCCGAAGAAGAGTTTGCACCATTCGGCCTTAATGGGGAGGTATTCGGCGGTCTGATCTTCAATCGACAGAGTGATAAAGAAGAAGGCTACCTGCGGCTACTCATAAGAGATGCAATCGCGCTATACATCAGCGAGCAGCTGGGATGCGAAGCATGTTTAAGAGATCTCACGCTGGAAGAAGAAGCCTTTTGCAAAGAAAAAGAGTAGTTCAATTTTCAGTTTATAATGGTGTAGGCCTAAAGGGGAGCCAGCCATTCAAAACAGTTGGCAAACGCGCCTTTCACGTTACCTCAAGGATGGTGTGGAAAACCGTGCTTAGATGCTTAATGTCTCTTTCTCTGCTATTATGTGTCACCTAATGAAATACCAATCAGACCAATCTTTTTAAACGTATTAAATGAAAAAAAAAATCGAAGAAACCACCGCATAAAAAAGTACCGCACAAATGTAGAGTTATTTGCATAATTATTCCTTGTTATTTTTATAATTTTCAACCAATCAACAATGTATGTTAATATGTTACTTTACTTTATTCTGGAATGAAATTTAGACTATATTGAAGCTATTTTATTTCTTTTTTTTGTTTCTGCAATAAGTAGGGCATTGAGGTTTAATAGCTTTTAACTGACAAATTTAAACAATTCATTTAACTACATTAAAAAAAAATACAATTAATTTAACAGAGACCACCTTCCTCTTCCTCCTCAGCAGCATCACCGGCACCATCTTCGCTCTGAGATGCCTAAAAGTTTTATAGCGTATAAGCCTATACATTAAAATAAAAAATATCAGTAAATCCTTACATCTGCATTTGGCGACGTGTACGACGCTGTCGCATTCTTAATAACGTCTGCTTTTGAAGCTGGCATGCCTTGTGGAAGGGGAACTTCACGCGCCAATAGAGCATACTCGACATCCATGTGTTTAATGAAAGGTGAAGATAAAGCCCGTAACGCCGTGTCCGGATCTTCGTCATCGTAGGCTTGTAAAAGCATTTCTAATGTTTGTACTTCTTGTGCATCACAACAGTTTCCCCATTCTTTGAAAGCTTTTTCTGCCGCCACCTGATCACCACGGGCCAACTGAACCATAACCAAAACAACTGCTAATCTGCCAATTTGTCCATAAGACTCACATTGCTGATTCAATCCGATTTCCCTTCTCAAAGCGTCCGCGGCTTGATCATACCTAAAATTTGTAATTAAACTAATATATAATTGAAAAAAAAAAACAAATTGAAAAAAATTCACATTCTCAATTTAACCAAAATGCGAGAAACTTTGGAACAGTATTCAATTGCCGAACGAGAGGAGTCCTCAATCTTGCGTTACAAAAACAAAACAAAGGGATACATATTTGTATATATATATGTATATATATGTATGGATTTTAGACAAACCAACAATTTCAATTCCTTACCATGGAGACTTCTAAAGCATGCTGATAAAAGCGTAAAGCCATGTCTGGATGTTTTTGTTCGACAACTTTAGCAGCTTTATCTAAAGCGGCCGCAGCCGATTCAGGTGATCCATGCTGTTGATATAGATTAGCGGCCTTATTAGCATATTCTTCAACTTGTAAGAGATTATTGGTTTCTTTACAAATCAGGACTATCTGTATTTTTAAGGAAATCTAGTTTATATATATATGGAGAGAAAGTGATTGAGAGAACAATACCTGTTCGTAGCATCTTGCAGCATGGAACCAAGCAGTATTATGTTTATAACAATCCACTGCTTTCAAGAGACAATCTCTACTCTGGTCATACGATTTACCTATTCGGAAAGCAGTAGCTGTAGAAATAGACAAAAACACATTGAATTAAAACATTTAAAAATTCTTTTTTATAACAAAGTAATTTTTTACCTGCTTTTGTATAATAATCAGCAGCTAAATCATATTCTGGACGCCATTTAAGAAGACTAGTCTTTAAGCTTCAAGTAAAATAAAAAAAACAAATTTATGTATCGAGTATATTTTCCATACGAGAACCACTTTTCGCATTATAATGTGTAAACATGTTCAGAATGTTGAAAAATTTTTATTGCAATGAAGTAAACTGAGGAAGATGCGATGCCACAATTATTATAATCTATGAATCCATATAGTCTTAAATATTATTTACCATTTTTCAGCTTGACGCACTAATTCACGACCTTCTTCAATTTTAGCAGTATTCATATTTTTCCAAAATTTAATAAAAATCAATAAACATTAAAAGACATTAATTAGCTCAACTTGCGAGACAACAAGAAATACTGCGGCAAGAAACGCAATTCGTTCATTTATGCCAGAGTAGCTAAAGTCCAAAACTTTTTCAGAGAAAACTGTCAAAGTGACAATTTGAAAAAGAAGTTTCAAAGGTTGGCAATATCAACATTCTTTTTGTCAAAACAAGCTAACAGAGAAGATGGTGCGTAGCTGCGTCCTTCTTTTTTTTTTTTTTTATCAACAAATATCTAAAGAATCCTAATAAAATAAGAAAAAATGTGGTGAATAATTATTAATAATTGTTTAATTATTGCAGGCCGCCCACAAAACATTCAGAATTAAGCAAAAGCTTGCCAAAAAATTGAAACAAAATCGATCTGTTCCGCAGTGGATTCGTTTGCGTACGGGTAATACTATCAGGTTCGTTCTTCTATAAATCATAACGCAGAGAGTGAAAGCAATCTTTTAATATTTTATGCATTTTCAGATACAATGCAAAGAGACGTCACTGGAGACGTACAAAGTTGAAGTTGTAAATGATTTTGCGGACGTTTCCCAATGATTGAATTGTGATTCTTAGTTTACAGTTCATCGTATAGTTGATAAATGAATGAAAGATATTGATTATAAAAAGTAAATTTAGACCTTTTTCATAATAAAACTGTGTCTTTGAATACAAATTGGGCACATTTAATTTGTGGTCTTGCTTGTGGGAATACATCATACTATCATAGAAAATCACAAATAAAAATTCAATCATCGGTTTATTTAAAACTATATTAAATGTTTATTCATGATTAACTTCTTTTTTTTTTTTACTTTAATACAATACGTTGCTTGTTGCAATTATTGGCGTTTACTCCTATTTCGCATATCCTCCGTAAATTTATATCTTAATTTAAATACTCATATATAAGTATGTGTAATGTGTTCAATGCCTATCTTCTTTATCTTCTAAATTCGTACGCACTACATATACAAATTTACTGCGATACGATGGGACTCTTCTTATCTATATCGGCTAGATTCGCATTATTCTGTACTGGTCCGCCACCGGGACTAGAGGGTATAGCGCCCGTTCTATCTATATTCCAAGGATTGGAACCGGATATTGGCGAATCTGAGTGACCGAATCCAGTATGGTTTTCATGATCCATAGCATTGGTTCCGTCGTATTGAGTGTTTTCTAAACGGGTTATAAGTCGTTCATCTTCTTCGCCAAATTCGCCGCCCATAAGAGTTGGTTCACCAACTACCATTACATCTTGATTAGACAGTGAGAAATTTGGACCGGACGGGGAACGCTTTTGGTTACTCACTGGTGGTGTGTTTGCGTTTGCGCCCCCGCCCGAGTTTGACCCTTTTCTTTTGCGCCTTTTGTTCGCCGGCCTCTGCGCGTCCTTTTTTCCTGGCGGAGCGATCATTCTTTGCCACTTCTGAAAAAGGGTCGTCTTCAGGCAATCACGAGGCGTTAATGAATACGCTTTATGTCTGGACATAAGCTCTTGCATTGGCTCCAGAATTACGCATAGACGCAAATAATTCAAAGTGGAATTTGTTATACCCGCACGCGTTATATTTTTAGTTATCTGCTCTAGCGTCATATTAGGTGTTCCTATTACACTTCGGGGTATAAGTTCGCGATGACCTTTGATTGTCATGTGCCAGGATTTAATACGCATATAATCGTCGTATAAAAATTCTAAAATAAGACGAGCCTCTGCGCAAACTTCCGTAAAAAACTTACCAAGCTGATTATGCTGTGTAATCACCGTACATTGATCACAGTCTAAAGTAATTAAAGTGTTGTGAAACGATTCCTTGGCATTTCTCAGTTGAAAATATAAATCGGAAACTCCACCTTCATAAATACTACGGAAAAACCGTGGGATCAAAGTGCGCCCGATAGTATAGCGTTTAAGTCCGTCTTCCAAATAAAAGACGACTGTTAGTTTAGCATCGTCCTCAAAAAATTCCGTCGCAAAAGTATCCCACCAACAGTTATCGCTTTCATCAGTTCGCTGCTGCAGGCGTTTGTTCATTTCGAAAACACGATGTTCCGTATGGCTATAGTACGAATTATGACGTCTAAAGCCCGGATCGATTCGATCCATTTGATGTGGTCCGCCCATCATAGGATGGCCTCCGCCGTGACCGAATGGTGAGGCTGGAGGTAAAGAGTTGAATTGACCGCCAACATTGAAAACTTGACCAGGAAAATGGCCACCTTGCCCACTATTGAATGGCGTTCCCGAACTACCCGGGCGGCTAAATTGTCCCATGCCAGACGACGGAGAGCCAAACGGTCCTCCCACCGGTCCATTGAAACTTCCCGAATTGGCTGGCTGCGGATAAGGTCCTGACATATTTTGCTGCGCTACTGGTCCCGGTGTCGATGAGCCCGATGGTGCTGGCGACGAAGTATATTGCGGTGTGTTTGAGCCCGTTGGATTTGCATTGGGAAACACAAGAGGTTGATTGCCGGCCGGTGAATTTTGGCCACCTTGCGAATATGGCGTATTTGAACCACCATATGGCAAATTGCCTTGTGAAAAGCCACCCTGATTTGAGGTGTCTGGATTAAGAGCTGGATTGTTATTGCCACCACCCATCATGGAAGCATTCTCGGGCACATTAACATTCTTCCAACTGGCATCATCCATGACAGATTGTGAACTTAAATTTGTGTTTGCGTTAATTCCTCTGCGATTCATAATTAATAAGAGTTAGAGCATTGCTTTCCTGGATGCAAAAGAAGAGACGGAAACAAATCTATTATATTTTAATTTATTAGTAAGTTGTGCACTTTTTATCAGACGATGTATCATTGAATTAATTAACTTGTTAAGATGAATAAAAGCAAAATTTAGATTATATTAATTTTTTTTTTTTTTTTTAATCCAATATTTAAATATATGTATGTGTTGATGATGATGAATGTTGCCTCTTTTTTTTAATTTTTTTTTTCTTTGCATTTTCCACCATTTATTTTATTTACCCAGGTATATACACACAGGCACACACATACAACAATAACAAGTAGTTTGTCTTAAATCAAAACAGCAGATTGATTAAACTGTTTGTAAATTTCAGTAAATTGCAATTTAAGCACCCTTTCCCTTAATTTAAAAACAATTTCGTTCTTTTCAAAAAGCGTTTATTTAAGGAGAACGAGAAAAATATGTTAGAAACAAATAAAAACTTATAGAGAACACGAATACATTTATAAGCACCTTCGCTAGATCATATTTACAATTAATGGTTTATAACTAGTATTATTTTTTACCTAAATAAGATCTTTTTTGGATATTAAATGGAAATGGTTATGCACAAAATACTTTAAAAAAATTACTAGAAAATAGAAAGAACTATCGCTCTTGCAATCGCTGCCTCTTTTACTCAATAACTCAGTTGCAAAAGAACATAGTTGAAGAGAAAGAATAACAGGGCATGCATTACGCAATATAATGATTGTTTTAGATTTATTTGTAAACAGGGTGGTAAAAGAAACATTGAAGGATATAAGAAGCATTTTTAGAAGAGAAAATTTTAAAACTAATACTGATCAGTACGCTATTAAATACCTTTGCTTTTGGAAATTTTACATATTCAAAAATCTCTAAAAAAACGAAAAATTAATAAATATAATATTTTGAAATTGTCAAACATTCATCTCAAACACGCAATAAAGCTAACACAACTTTTGTGGAACCAATGTTACTTGTAGAGCATTCACTATTACTAATAACTGATTCCTGTTTATGTTCATACTACTTAGTACTTGGCACAGTTTTGTAAAGTTTCATCTGTGCAAGCTTTGAATTCAACCAAACGAATTAAAATTTCAAAAATTGTTAAGAGAAGGAGTCGTAGACCTATTTCTGTTATTCAAATTCTCAAATTAACCACGAGATGCAATGAGACTTCATATCAATACATATGTAGTAGTAGTAGTACGTAAACCCGTTTAACACTAGAATGGCATGCATATTTGTGATGGTTATGATACATCTATGATGTACTTATTACAAATTTACCAAAATATCAAAAAAATTAACTTCAACGAGAGCTGAAAAATAAACAAAAACTCTTTTACAACAAGCGAATGCTTTAAATAAAATCGATAGGGTTCAAATCTAATCATACAAAACAATCACAAGACATAGCCCAAAAAAAAAATAATATTGTTCAACATGTAGACATTTTACGTGGCAAGTTCGCAGCCAGATTCCAACAAGTTCATAGCTTATTTTCAAATGTTATTCATCTTCGAAGAGGATTTGGAAAGAAAGTCGATGGGAAAATATTTACATTTTTATGAATCAAAACTGAATTACATTTGAATCAACCCTTCAACATTTTTATTCGCTCGACAAATCGTTATCATTTATTTATGTTTCGGACAATACATAGCTTAAGTTAAAGAACCCGTTTGAAAGGTGGAAAGAAAATCATTATCTGAGTTACCCTTTGCTTTAATGTTTTGATGTTTGGCAAGAAAAATTTAAACTGACTTTTAGTTTCTTTTTAAATTTACGTAAAAATTATGCTCCAATGATTTCTTTATCGCAATTGGTAAGTTTGAACGGCTAATACCAATGGAGGTAATCGTAATCTTTGGCGAATTTCTAGGTCAGGCAATTTTGTTCGAAAGCATCAAAAAATGCAGAACAACAAATTCGGTTGTTACTTATGGCTCGCTTTCCACAGGTCATATATATATGTTTATTCTTAAAACGCGAATGCGTGTGCTATAACTAATAATCTTTATAAAATTGGAAATATATTGTTTTAGGCAAGCATTAAAGTAAATGATGTCTCTGGAGGGTGCGGTGCCATGTTTGATGTATTTGTTGAAGATTTCGAATTTAAAGGACTCACTACTCTAAGACAGCACAAACTAGTCACTAATACGCTTAAAGACAAAATCAAAGAAATGCACGGTCTGCGGATACATACGACAATACCTGAAGATACACCAATATCTGAACCTGAAAGTTAATGACAATTGCTGGAATTAAAATGGCTGCTAATAAGAAGTCTTCTTCTGGATATTTTTTTCATTCATTTCAAATTGCATGGTATATTTTTATATAAAAAATTAAACGCACTGGTTCCTTTATTCCCACTCATTATTCTTTCTTATTGTTACATATGATCCCTTCTCCTCAATGAACATAGGCTTTTTGACTTTGCCGAAAGTATATTTCGATTGGTAAAGGCGGTACTGGAGGTTCTGTAGAACTGAGCATTAATTCTAAAATATCTGTTTCGGTACGCTCGGTACGCGAACTCGTCTTGTCGCTGCGCATTTTGTTTCTCGATTTGGCTATTTTCATAATAGATCGCATAGTCGTAGTTGGTGCTGTTGTAGCTGTTGCAGTGCTTTTAGTAGTAGTGATTGGCAAAATAGGCGTACTATGTGGCTCGAATAGTGTAATTGGGCTTGTGGTTGTAGAAGATCTACGTCGGCTTTTAGGACCTTGCCTGGAATTTTGAACATCTACTCGTTTCTCTTTCTTATGACTACTTGAATGACGTTCATTTGTTCTTTTCGAACCTCTTTTATGGGCAGTTTTAGCATCTTGAACAGAGTTGCTCGCCGCTGTGCTTACATTAGCTTTCATGGATCCTCTCTGAATTCTTTGAGAAATGCGGGGCTTTTCAGACGACGACGTTGTATTGGTGGGCGCCAAGTGCTCGGAGTCAGGTTGCGATTCCGTTCTATTCGTTTCGACTTTCTCCGTGGTTGTTACCGTTGTTAAGGCGGCGGTAGCGACAGAGGTTGTGGTGGTAGGGTCGACAGTTGTTGTTGATGAGGTGGAAAACAAATGCTTTACTTTTTTCAATTTCTTAATGTATTTATACGGCTGTCGGGTATATTTACTAGTATCGACAGTGGTCCTCGTAGGAGATGTGGTAGAAGTGGTTGTAGACGATTCACGTAGTCCTCGTTGTTTATGATATTTAAAAGGCCTTAGACTGGCTGGTGATTTTAGTATCATTTTCTTAAATTTGTTTCGAGTGGTACTTAAAGCCGCTTTTGCAGTCGTTGTTGCAGTGGTAGTTGTTTGCCATGCTGCATATACTTCAGTTGTAATATTTGCCTTGGAGGGAGAGCTTGTTGATGACTTTGGTGTCGTAAGCATTCTTTCAGTTATTGAGTCATAGGTCGGTCTATATGTGGTCACGCTATTTAAACGACCGATACTAGACGTCTCCTCTGATTTATAATCCTTCGGCGGTTGTGCTTGGTCTATGTAATTGTAACTGTTTCCTAACGGCTCGTGTAAAGCAAAATTTGAATATTCCGTTTTCGTGGGATGATCAAACAGTTCGTATTCATGGTCTATGTCATAATCAGAGTCGAAAAAGCTTTTCACCTCATCGCTCTTATGTGGAGAATACGACAGCAAGAGTGCTGTTGTAGTCGGTTGAGGGGGAGGAGCAAGTGTTGAGCGCCATCGTTCATGCTGTTTCCGTGCATGTTTATATGCCAAATAAGGATCATTGAACACTTGATTCGCCGGGGAACTAGTGACTGCGTCTTCTATCGTGAAGAAACTGTGCTCTTTGTTACCGTAAGGAGAATGCACGGTAGTTAAGTAATTAACACCGTTATTATTTATGATCTCATACGCCGGACCGGGAGTATGTCGTTGTTCGTTTGAATGAAAAACAGTTGAGGGAGTGGTGAAAAAATAGTTTCTTCCCTGGTATTCTTTATTTCCATATGGTGACATGATAGGTAGAAAAGCGATTTCAACGCTCGGTTTACTCGCGTAAAGCAAATCATCAGTCATTCCATTAGTCTCTTTACTTTTAAAGGGTGTAGAAGTCGTTGTGGGCGGTCTGTATGTTTTCTTTAAGTTCAATTCCTCTCTTGCGGGAATAGCGGTATGTAACGAAGGTTTGCCGGTTGTATATTCGTACGTATCTTTAAGAAATGCTTTTGGCATTGCGCTAAGAGTGGTCGTTGTCGTGGCGGTACTTGTTGGGATCTTTAATATTTCGTTATATGAAAATTTTGGTTTCGAATCTACTTTCGGCAAAATCTGTGTATAATTTATTCCATTAATGTTCGGTTGACAGTAGTAGTAAAGCACATTATTGTTTGAACCACCGTCAGTTTGGTCTTTCATTTTGCGACCGCAAAGCATATCAATGGTTGTGTTGCTATTGCCATAAGTATTAGTTTCAAGGCCATGAATATTCAAATTGAATATTTCCGTTGGTTTACTGATTGCCAGAGGAGGAGCAGTGTTCGTCGGTACGTACTGATGATATTGCTGTCGCGGTATCAAGTGCACCGCATTTACATCATCCACCATTTGGCGGCCGTATGCACTGTAGTATTGAGGGTAAAGCAATTTGTTATGACGGTGGTTACGTATGACGTTTGCGTGCGGAGGTATATAGGATTTCGGTAAAATCGCATTAATCAACGCTAGTTGACGTAAATTTGTTGACTTTCTGTAAATAGAAGGTTAGTCAGCTTTTACTTTTATTTTTTTGATTAGGTTTTAATTTTGAATTTTTTTTTTCTTCTACCGCATATCATTGTATTCTTTGATTTTGTAAGGATAGCTGTTAACTTTCGGCGGTGCTAGGCTTAGCATATAGCTTTGTACAGGTGCTACAGGTATGTAACGATTATACGAAGGCTTGATATTGGGATAGACGGGCGGCGTTACACTCATAATTGGTTTCCAAACAAGCAAATGCGGTTGAGCTGCTGCCATTCCATCCTCACGTCTGCCTAAGTGAAAGCGCTGCAAAGATAATATATATTGGATGTAAGAGAAAGAATAAGAGGCAAGGGGGGAGCGGAAACTTTTATACCCATCACCATAACATACGATCCATAGCACTGGGTATTCTTAGTCACCTCGCCAAATTTATATAATATTGGCAATAAGCGGCGTCTAGCTGCGTTCATCAGTCCATCTGCCCATTGTCTGCTGTCAATGCGGTTATTGTATCAAAGTTTTGTTAAGGACGCTGTCACTTCCACCCGATCTACTCGATCTGTTTAGTGTAAATTCGTTTATCATTCCGTCTGTCTGGGATGCGTTGTTGGTAGACTCATGGGCGTTCAAATTGAGATAAAAGACTGTAGCATAGCACAGACAATCCGAGTTGACGGTCAAGTTTGAGAATGGGTCAGATTCAATCAAAAAGGCACCTAAATTTGGTACAGGCCTGTCGTCTAAGAAGTCAGCGCAAAAATGTTGTTTGTCATCAACGGCTTACTTTGGAATATCAGTACATCTTATCGAAAGGTAAGTGTGTACTATACTTTCCTATTCGCTCGCAATACATTGCAACGTAAAATGACTTTTGTGATTTTACGTTTTAATTCAAATCATTTTGAGATTAAGTTCGTGTCACTTAATTAAGACTTTATAGGTTAACGTAGGTCTTGTATTTACACTTCCTTAGAGATTTATTTACAAATTATTTACACGAACTTATATTTACAACGTTTTGATGGTCGTTACGGTCGTGTTCGTCCGAATATTAACATTCAACTCTTCCTCGATTGCCTTTGTCTTTCGTAAATATTCTGCTTATATACCCTTCTACAGTCAAGGTATCGGTATTCCTCCACGTAACG